GTTGGCGCAGGATAGAGCAGGGTTTAGGGCTGTTGTGCATAGGGTCGCTATGAGTCGGAAACGACTCGACGGCACATAACAACAACAACAGTACATGTTTTACTTTTGTAAATATTCCTTTCTTTTGATGAAGCTATGTATTATGCAGTTATTTGGTATAGTGTTTTATAAATGCTTTTATAAGGTCAAAGTGGTTAATAGTGTCATTCAGATTATCTGTATTCTCATTTTCCTTTTCTGGATTACTTCTGTCATTACTGAGAAACCCAAAACAAACCCACTGCCACTGAGTCAATTCTAAAATCCCCATGTGGATTTATTCTGTTAGGTTTTGCTTCATCAATTTTGGAGCTCTGTTAGTAGATATATGTTGTTGGGTGCCATCAAGTTGGAACTGAGCCGTAGCTGACCCGATAGCAGTCTTTTAAGAGTCAGTAAATTAACAGGAGGAGATTACCCATCTTTTTTCTCTGGAGCAACTGGTGTATTCACACTGCAATATGTGTTAGGCAGATGACAAAACCTTGGACATAACCTTGCTTGCTGAAACTGAGGAGCGCCTGAAGCATTTGCTGCAGAAGATCAAGGATTGTAGCCTTAAATATGGATTGCATCTCAGCATCAAGAAAACAAAGATTCTCAACACTGGGCTGATTGGCAGATCATGATAGAGAGTGAACATTGAGTTTGTTAATAGCTTCAGTTTGCATGACTCTTCAATCAACACTCTTGGTACCAGCAGCCAGGAAGTAAAAAGATAAATTGCATTAGGAAGATCTGCTGTCAGGGACTTCTCCAGAGTACTGAGGAGCAACAATGTCAGTCTCAAGACTAAAATGCGCCTGATCCAGGACATCATCTTCGTTATTATGTGCTATGCATCAGAAAGCTGGACAGTGACAAGTGATAATAAACAGAGATTGATGCCTTTGAGCTGTGATGCTGTAGGAAAGTATTGAATATACCATGGACTGTTAGGAGAATAAACAAGTTCATTCCGGAGAGGATGAAACCAGGTTGCTTCATGGAGGCAAGGATTATGAAGCTTTGTCTGACCTATTTTGGGCATGTTGCAAGGAGGGACCAGACCTGGGAGAGGGACATCATTCTTGGGAGGGTGGAGGGAAGTGCAAGACAGGAAAACCCTTGATGAAATTGTATTGACTCAGTGACTAGGGTAATGAATGTGAGTCAGAGATAATAAGGTTGGCTTAGGATAGAGCAGGGTTTAGAGCTGTTAAACAACAGCAACAACATAATTGATCAGTCACTAATTCCTTCTAGTTTTGCCTCCCATGAGTTCTCTCTTTCTTCTTCCTCCTTTATCCTCACCTTTATCAGCTGTTGCCTGGACCATTGCAGTAACATTTCTGCTTCATATGTCCCCTGGAATGATCAGTTTAAATGCAGTTCAGGCTCCTGTTTTAACTCCTCCCCACAGGATGAAATCTTTTTACCATGTTTTACAGAGCTCATTATAGCTGGGCCTCTTCCTTCATTTCTAGCTTTGTCTCTTGCTGCTTCCTTTGTTGTACTTCAGAATCGTGTCTTACCAACTATATCAGACTATTTCTGTGCCTTTCCTCTTTCACTCATGCTCTTCTCCCAAACCCTGGTCCTCCCCATCTCCAACACTCTTTTTAAGTCCTTTAGACTTAGCTTAGGGCCACCTCCAAAAAGCCTTTTCTTACTATCCTTGCTTATCCTTCATGTTAGGTTTCCACTGCTTCTTTAAGTTGAGAAAGATATCCCTTCTATGCCCACTACATCCACTATACCATGTTTTTACCACTCTGTACTTAATTATTTGTTTAAGGGTTCCTTGTCCACTGCTTAGTAAGTGTGTCAGGACAGACACTGTGCCATACTAATTTTCTGAGAATTCCTACTACATAATAAGAATTCAGTTAGTATTTGTTTAATGAGTAGATGAAAGATGAGATGTGCATGCACATCAGGTGAGAGAGTTGAACCTTTAGAATTTGATAAAAGTAGTTGTTGAAGATACTAGGAGACAGGTTAAAGGATTTCTCAGTGGATAGATACTATCTCTTTGAATCTGTTGCATATATATATATATATGAAATATTTTCACACAGTTGTCTTTATTTTCACCTTGTTCATTGTTCTGTAAACTCATCTTTCTTTCCTCTTAATAAATGTTTGGGAATCTGACTGATTCGTATGTCTCTTTTGATTGCAGATCCAATGGTTTTGAACAGAAACGCTTTGCCAGACTTGCCAGTAAGAAGGCAGTAGAGGAACTCGCCTACAAGTGGAGTGTTGAGGATATGTAACTTTGCTGAGACTGTAAGGGTAACTCTGGATTGTGATAGTGGACAGAGAGCAGCCAGACGTCCAGCTGTTTAAGTTGTCTACGCTGAAAATCAGGACCCACTTAGACTGTAATGTTGAGTGTCAGTTTTGATCCAGAAGAATATTTAGGACTTGCTGTTTGGACTTTGGCACCTGTATTTTTTACTCACACTGACTGTTGCTTTCAGAGGAAGGAAGCATTGATTTCTCAGTGCCCCAGAGTTTACTTTAAGTAAGACTTTTTTTCTTTTCTTAATTAATAAACATTTGTTTATTTTTTTAAAGCCATTCTCTTAACTGGGCATTTTGTTTCTGCGAAGACCCAAGATGTATTGAACCTCTCGAGAATCCTAAGGGTAATAATTTAATTTTCCACTAACCTGGAAAGTGCTGTGAATAAATGATAGACCCTTCTTTTGAGAAAACAAGAATTAGCTCTAAACTGGATATATGTGTAGACTCATGGATATTTGGAGACTGACAAAGGTAGTGTCAAAAACTATTTGGGGAATAGATGGCTAATGGTGCTTAGAAATTGGACTTGTAAGGACAAAGATAATGTTGGATTTATACCCTCATACCATAGAAAACAAAATCTCAAGAGGTTAAAGAGCTAAATTGAAGGTAAAATGATAACACTGATAGGGAAATAGGAAAATGTTTCTGCTGGGGTAAAGATAGGTCTTTAAAATAAAATTACACACACACAACCCATATGATTTGATAGATTTGACTGTTTTCCTTATCAACTGTCTTATTCAACTTTCACATTTAAAACAATAGTAAAAATATATTATCTGATTATTTCGTTTATTAATAATGTATATCTGGCAATAAAGAATTCTTAGGGGTGAGGCAAAAGTAATGCTGGCTGTAATGGTTAAGGTTATATGTCAGCTTGCCTGTATCAGGATTCTTTGGTTTGCCAGTTTTAATGATGTAATTTGGCAGTTATATGATGTAGTAACTTTCAATTTGTGTTGTGTTCCATTTTTCTCTTAATACTAATTTTCACATAACAACTTGGTCTTTGGACCCTAATTGTGTCAATAAGTGAGTAGTGAGTTCAAAATGAACTTTTTTCCTTTTTAAACTTTCTTTTTGATAAAGCATCTTTTGTATGAAGATGAAAATACATCAGGAGAAAATGTTTACAGTATTGAAAACTCACAATAGGTTTGACTGTTAACCTGAATAGGACTGACCTGTGCAACCAATAGGATATACAGACAGTTAGTTCCTGGGTTATGAACATTTGACTTACGTACAACCTTTGGTTAAGAACCAAACCCCATAAAGTCTACGATATTATTTATTAATAAGTCTAAGTATATACAGTGATTTATAACAAGAAATGGACTATCATTACTGAATTATTACATTAAAGGGAGTTCTGGTGGTGTCATCCTTGGGTGATTACATTGTTAACCCAAAGGTGGCACCTTGCAGACAATTAATATTCACTAGCCGCTTTTTGGGAGGAAGATACCAGTCTCTTCATGTGTGATTTACAGTCTCTGAAAACTTTCTGAAGGGTCAGCTATGAGTCAGTTCTGACTGGACATTAGTGAGGGCTTTTTTTAGAGTTATGTTAAATATGTTTTAGTGGAAGTATTAGTGTAAAAATTTCATTTTTTTACAATGAAAGGTACTATATATTGTTGTTGTTGATTGCTTTCAGGTCAAGCACGACGCTTAACAACCCCATGAACAAAAGGCCTGAAGCCCCTCTACAACCATTGACATTTATCAGAGTTCCTATTGTTTCTGGAAGCATGTTGTTTAGGAGGTGGATGCCACTCCTGCTTCCAAAGATACTATATATTAAGACAAGTATTTGATGACCTACTACTAGATATACACTTTATCTAACTGTACCAATTTATGTACAAATTAAAAACGTAAACAGCTTAAAAAATTTAGGAATGAAGTAAGTTTGTAATTTACTGGAAATGATAGTGTGTGACTTCTGAGACCTCAGGTCATTTGTTTTGGAGGAAGAAATGACTCTGTTGTGAGGACGCCCATGCACTCTCTAGCCCCATTGGAGAGGAACCAAAGCCCTTTACCAATAGCCAGTGCCAGTTTGCCAACCATTTGAGCAACCCAGATCCATTCAAGATCTCAGATGACTGCACACGTGAAACAGCTTGATCACACCTCATGAGAAAGCCTGACCAATGGAATTGATCACCCAGCTGAATGCTTCTAAATTTTTGACCCACAGGAACTATGATTATCATGGATCTGATTGTATCTCCACAAATTTGTGCTAAATTAGCAAGGCCATGATTTTCAGTGATTTGTAATGATGTAATTTGGCAGTTATGCAATGATACAGTCATTCTTATAATGTAATCTAACGAGATTAGTCAATTAATTGTGAGGGGATTAGAAGCAGTGCATTATTACCCTTACACAGGCCCTACATAGCCGTGATCTGATGATGTCAGGGCAGTTAGGTTCTTTGTGTGGTGTCTAAAGTTTATTGTTCAAAATGTCTTTTCTAACCATTGATTGTTTATTCTGTGATGAAATATTGATTGTATTAAGAAGATACGATTATGGTAGGATACAAGCCCCCTCCTATTAGAGGCCCACATAAGCTCATTGGAGCTCAGTGCTAACTCTCTCTTTTGGGACACTTGCTCTTCTGGGACACAGCATCCAGCTGTGCTTGGCCTATCACTCACCAGTTTGTGCAACATCAGCCTGCATCGTGAGTCATTTCCCTTCAAAGGAGAGTCTCTATGTGACCTTCCAGTGAACCACTGAACCCAGGGAACATGGAGGAGTGGGAGAACAGGGTGAAGGCAAAGCAATTGATGTTGGAAATCATGGAGTGGTACAGCAGACCAAATATTTGGGACACTGTTGGCTTTCCCCTTTTTTTAATTTGTTTGCTACTAATCTGAGAAATTATGGATGCACCCTGGGATATAGCTTGAGCCACCTTTTATCTTCAAGAGATAAATGGAGAGAGTAAGCAGAGAAGGAAAGACCTCTGTACCCTTAGGAAAGAAGAACTGAGAAAGGAGTGTGTCCTTTGGACCCAGGGTTCTTATACTGAGACTCTCCTGGACCAAGATACATGGAGATCTCCAAGGAATGCCAGGCTTAAACATGTTGAAAGAACACAAGGACTTTTACCCAAAACTGACAATGAGAGAACATCTCCATCTAGAGCCCACATCCTGAATTTGTATTTCTGGCCTCCTAAACTGAGAGGATCAATTTGTTGAAACTGTTCACTGTTACTTCTGTGATAGTTATTGGGAATGGTGTACACTAGGGATGTGTCCTATCTCCATACCTTTTCAATCTATATGCAGAACAGATCATCCGGGAGGCTGCGCTATATGAGGAGAAATGTGGCATCAGGATTGGAGGAAGTGATGCAGAAGACACAACCCTGCTTGTGAAACTGAAGAGAACTTGAAGTACTTGCTCCAGAAAGTCAAGGACTACAGCCTTCAATATGGATTGAAGCTCGACACTAAGAAAACAAAGATTTTACCACTGAGCCGATTTGCAGCATCTTAATAGATGATGAAGAGATTGAGATTGTTCACAGCTTCCACTTATTTGGCTCAACCATCAACACTCTTGGTACCAGCAGCCAGGAAATGAAAAGAAAATTGCATTGGGAAAATCTGCTGTCAGAGACCTCTCCAAAGTACTAAAGAGCAGGGATGGCAATCTGGAGACTAAGCTGTGCCTGATTGAAGCTGTGTCTTTGCAGTTACTTGCTATGCATCAGAAAGCTGGACAATGACTAGGGATGATAGAAGGAGAATTGATGCCTTTGAGCTGGAGAAGAGTATTTAATATACCATGGAAGGCTAGGAGGACATACAGGTTCATCTTGGAGAGGGTGAAAGCAGGGTGCTCCTTGGAGACAAGAATTCTGAACCCTCATCTGACATACTTTGGACATGTTGCAAGGAAGGACCAGTTCTTGGAGAGGGTTGTTATCATGCTTGGGAGAGTGGAAGGACAACTCAAGAGAGGGAGACCCTTGATGAGATGGATTGATTCAATGACTGGGGTAATGGAGGTAGGTTTGTCAGAGACAATAAGATAGGCAACAGGATAGAGCAAGGGTATAGGGCTCTTGTACATAGGTTCTCTGTGAGTTGTAAGCAACTCCATGGCACATAACAGCAGCAACATAACTAAAACATAGATGTTTATTTTTATTAAAACATTGATGGAGATATAATTCACAGGCTATTCCATTTACTAATTTAGAATGTACAGTTAGTGGTGGTTAGTATATTCAGAGTTGTGCAGCTATCACTACAATTTAGAACATTTTTATTACCCCATGGATACAAGTGACATCGATTTTGGTCTTTCTCTTTCCTTTGCCTTTGTAATGATGTTTTGCTGTCTTTGATGATGTCCTTGATACCTTTCCATAACTCATCTGCTCATTGATCATTAGTGTTCAGTGCCTCAAACAGATGAGGTAGACTCCAGGGTTCTATTTTGGTTCTTATGGACTTGTTTCCATTTTCTTCACATTCAGTTTAAATTTGCACATGAGCAATTGATGGTCTATTCCACAGTCAGCACCTGTAGGGTTCTGACTGCTGATAAATGAGCTTCTTGAATGAATTTTTCTACATATGTGGTCAGTCTGATCACTGTACAGTACATCATGCGAGGTACATGTGTATAGTCACCTTTTGTATTTTTTAAAAAAGGTATTTGTAATGAATAAATCATTTAAAGTATTAAATCATTGATCTCCAGCCTTATTTCTTTCCCCAAGTCTGTACTTTGAGACCATTCCTTCTTCATTGTTTTCAGCTTTTGCTTTCCAATCACCAATTATTAATACATTTTTTTTGAGATTTTATTATAAGTTTATAAAGAACTTGGATTGCCCTTTATTCATTGTTGTACATTTTCCTCCATGCCCCACCCCTCTCCATTCCACTTTTTTCTTTGGGAAAAAGTCCTTTCATTGTTAATT